AGTGATGTGGCTAATACAGTGATGTGGCTAATACAGAGATGAGGCTAATACAGTGATGAGGCTAATACAGTGATGAGGCTAATACAGTGATGAGGCTAATACAGTGATGTGGCTAATACAGTGATGTGGCTAATACAGAGATGAGGCTAATACAGTGATGAGGCTAATACAGTGATGAGGCTAATACAGTGATGAGGCTAATACAGTGATGTGGCTAATACAGTGATGAGGCTAATACAGTGATGTGGCTAATACAGTGATGAGGCTAATACAGTGATGAGGCTAATACAGTGATGTGGCTAATACAGTGATGAGGCTAATACAGTGATGTGGCTAATACAGTGATGAGGCTAATACAGTGATGAGGCTAATGCAGTGATGAGGCTAATACAGTGATGAGGCTAATACAGTGATGTGGCTAATACAGTGATGAGGCTAATACAGTGATGTGGCTAATACAGTGATGAGGCTAATACAGTGATGTGGCTAATACAGTGATGCGGCTAATACAGTGATGAGGCTAATACAGTGATGCGGCTAATATGTGTGTTTATTTTGTGGTAGAGTTGTCAGAGCAGAAGATAACGGTTAATGAGCCATGGAAGCTAACAGTGAACTAAGCTAACGGGTCACTGGGTCAGGGGTCACATGGTTAGGGTCAGAGGTCACGTGTTCAGGGTCAGGGGTCAGAGGTCACAGGTCACCTTCCTCCAGGCTGATGGTGACGATGGGGCTGCTGAGCTCCAGGCCTTGGTCTCCTCCTGAGGTCACGGCTCGGGCGGCACACTGGACCCTGGATCCTGCCTGGAAGTAGATGGAGTCCAGCGTGATGCTCCTGGAGGAGGTGAAGAAGGTGTCAAAGGCCACCTCCCTCATGGCGCTGGTGACGCCGTCCGACCCCGAGGGGGCGCTCACGAGCCAGCGGTACCGGCTCAGAGTGTTGTTGATGTGTTCGCTCACGCAGATGGAGCCGGTGCGGCTGTAGTCCGAGTATTTAGGGTCACAGGCCTGAAGGGAGAGACAGAAATGTTAGCACAGGGACTCCTGCTGGGACCCTGAGGAGCACAGGGATTCCTGCTGGGACTCTGAGGAGCACAGGGACTCCTGGTGTGTTCTGTATCAGGGGCCTGTGGCTTTAAGTCTCGTACAGCTTTAACAAGAATACACACACACACACACAGATACACGCACACACACATGCACACATACACACACACACAGATACGCACACACACACATACACACACGCAGATACACCCACACACACACACATACACACACACACACACACACGTAACATAACATTCCAAAGCAAATCATAGCAGAGGAAGGCTCAGGGAGAAAAAAAGTTTGCCGATCGCTGACTTGAGCTGCTGTCTGTGTGAGTGACCATTTTTCCTCTAGAACTGGGCGTCACTGGAGAACGCTGAAGTTACACCCCTGTGCTTTAATCCACAATCAGAGGTGTTTCTGTGTTTGAGTGTTTGGAGAAACACCAGGAACTAAAGCGACAGCTGAGGACGCAAAGTCACCGCCGTAAAGTCACCGCCGCAAAGTCACCGCCGCAAAGTCACCGCCGCAAAGTCACCGCCGCAAAGTCACCGCCCCAAAGTCACCTCCCCAAAGTCACCGCCCCAAAGTCACCGCCCCAAAGTCACCGCCGCAAAGTCACCTCCCCAAAGTCACCGCCGCAAAGTCACCGCCGCAAAGTCACCGCCCCAAAGTCACCGCCGCAAAGTCACCGCCGCAAAGTCACCGCCGCAAAGTCACCGCCCCAAAGTCACCGCCGCAAAGTCACCGCCCCAAAGTCACCGCCGCAAAGTCACCGCCCCAAAGTCACCGCCCCAAAGTCATCGCCGCAAAGTCACCGCCCCAAAGTCACCGCCGCAAAGTCACCGCCCCAAAGTCACCGCCCCAAAGTCATCGCCGCAAAGTCACCGCCGCAAAGTCACCGCCGCAAAGTCACCGCCGCAAAGTCACCGCCGCAAAGTCACCGCCGCAAAGTCCCCGCAGAGTCTGAGGTCAAAGTACAGGAACAGATCATATAGATTCTTATAATAATAATGTTGATAAAGATACAGTCTCTGTGGCCCACCTCTCTTAACCGTGCTGGTCCACCTCTCTTAACCGTGCTGGCCCACCTCTCTTAACCGTGCTGGTCCACCTCTCTTAACCGTGCTGGCCCACCTCTCTTAACCGTGCTCTGGCCCACCTCTGTTAACCGTGCTCTGGCCCACCTCTCTTAACCGTGCTGGTCCACCTCTCTTAACCGTGCTCTGGCCCACCTCTCTTAACCGTGCTGGCCCACCTCTCTTAACCGTGCTCTGGCCCACCTCTCTTAACCGTGCTCTGGCCCACCTCTCTTAACCGTGCTCTGGCCCACCTCTCTTAACCGTGCTGGCCCACCTCTCTTAACCGTGCTCTGGCCCACCTCTCTTAACCGTGCTGGCCCACCTCTCTTAACCGTGCTGGCCCACCTCTCTTAACCGTGCTCTGGCCCACCTCTCTTAACCGTGCTCTGGCCCACTTGCCGCGGTCACATAGCACCTAAAGCCCGACCAGTCTGACCTGGGCCTAGTCTGACCTGGGACCAGTCTGACCTGGGACCAGTCTGACCTGGGACCAGTCTGACCTGGGACCAGTCTGTGTCCTCTGCATTTGACCCGGGTGCCACTGGGCGTCTGTTAGGAGCAGAGCAGGACCGAGACCATCTGGTGCTGGTGCTCTGGGTCAGGACCGGAGCAGGAGGATTAAACTATTGTGCATGTTTTAGTGATAGGGGAAACCGGAGCATACGCAGGAAACCTACGCAGACACGAGGAGAACATGCAAACTCTATTACTATCTATATTCTTTCTTCATCTGTTTCTGAAGTGACCCTGTTTGATTCACCTCAGTCTCTTACTTTCTCCTTTTATTCGAACCGTCGGCCATCTTGGTCTTTGCTTTTCAAACCAGGACTCTTTGGTCGTTCTTATTCAGACAAAAAACCGCTAAAGACGGACTTCCTCTGATTGGTGATTCGCAGGACTCACCGTGACACAGATGAGCGGGTATCCTGCCGGGGGGCGGAGCATCTCGATGGCGGCGTCCACACGGTCGTAGTAAAGCAGCGACACCACGTGGGGCAGAGACGGGAACGTGACGTCGGCCATGTTGGTCTCCTCGATGTACACGATGGCTTTGGTCACCTGCAGAGAGGGAGAGGGAGGACTGAGGCTGTAGACCCAGGACTGAGGCTGTAGACCCAGGACTGAGGCTGTAGACCCAGGACTGAGGCTGTATAGACCCAGGACTGAGGCTGTAGACCCAGGACTGAGGCTGTAGACCCAGGACTGAGGCTGCAGACCCAGAACTGAGGCTGTAGACCCAGGACTGAGGCTGTAGACCCAGGACTGAGGCTGTAGACCCAGGACTGAGGCTGTAGACCCAGGACTGAGACTGTAGACCCAGGACTGAGACTGTAGACCCAGGACTGAGGCTGTAGACCCAGGACTGAGACTGTAGACCCAGGACTGAGGCTGTATAGACCCAGGACTGAGACTGTAGACCCAGGACTGAGGCTGCAGACCCAGGACTGAGGCTGTAGACCCAGGACTGAGGCTGTAGACCCAGGACTGAGGCTGTAGACTCAGTGTGTACCTTTGTGTCCCAGTGTTTGATGCACAGTGTTTTGCGGCGTTAGGTTAAGTGCTACACCTCCACAATCACCTCCCACTGCCTCTCGGTCTCGCTCTGCTCCCACTGCCTCTTGGTCTCACTATGGTCCCTGTGTTCGCTCTTGGTTCCAACTGCCTCTCAGTCTCGCTCTGGTCCCTTTGTTTATTTCTTGGTTCTAGCTGCCTCTCGGTCTCGCTCTGGTCCCTGTGTTTGCTCTTGGTTCTAGCTGCCTCTCGGTCTCGCTCTGGTCCCTGTGTTTGCCCTTGGTTCTAGCTGCCTCTCGGTCTCGCTCTGGTCCCTGTGTTTGCCCTTGGTTCTAGCTGCCTCTCGGTCTCGCTCTGGTCCCTGTGTTTGCTCTTGGTTCTAGCTGCCTCTCGGTCTCGCTCTGGTCCCTGTGTTTGCTCTTGGTTCTAGCTGCCTCTCGGTCTCGCTCTGGTCCCTGTGTTTGCCCTTGGTTCTAGCTGCCTCTCGGTCTCGCTCTGGTCCCTGTGTTTGCTCTTGGTTCTAGCTGCCTCTCGGTCTCGCTCTGGTCCCTGTGTTTGCTCTTGGTTCTAGCTGCCTCTCGGTCTCGCTCTGGTCCCTGTGTTTGCTCTTGGTTCTAGCTGCCTCTCGGTCTCGCTCTGGTCCCTGTGTTTGCTCTTGGTTCTAGCTGCCTCTCGGTCTCGCTCTGGTCCCTGTGTTTGCTCTTGGTTCTAGCTGCCTCTCGGTCTCGCTCTGGTCCCTGTGTTTGCTCTTGGTTCTAGCTGCCTCTCGGTCTCGCTCTGGTCCCTGTGTTTGCCCTTGGTTCTAGCTGCCTCTCGGTCTCGCTCTGGTCCCTGTGTTTGCCCTTGGTTCTAGCTGCCTCTCGGTCCCTGTGTTTGCTCTTGGTTCTAGCTGCCTCTCGGTCTCGCTCTGGTCCCTGTGTTTGCTCTTGGTTCTAGCTGCCTCTCGGTCTCGCTCTGGTCCCTGTGTTTGCTCTTGGTTCTAGCTGCCTCTCGGTCTCGCTCTGGTCCCTGTGTTTGCTCTTGGTTCTAGTTGCCTCTCGGTCTCGCTCTGGTCCCTGTGTTTGCTCTTGGTTCTAACTGCCTCTCGGTCTCGCTCTGGTCCCTGTGTTTGCTCTTGGTTCTAGTTGCCTCTCGGTCTCGCTCTGGTCCCTGTGTTTGCTCTTGGTTCTAACTGCCTCTCGGTCTCGCTCTGGTCCCTGTGTTTGCTCTTGGTTCTAGTTGCCTCTCGGTCTCGCTCTGGTCCCTGTGTTTGCTCTTGGTTCTAGTTGCCTCTCGGTCTCGCTCTGGTCCCTGTGTTTGCACTTGGTTCTAGCTGCCTCTCGGTCTCGCTCTGGTCCCTGTGTTTGCCCTTGGTTCTAGCTGCCTCTCGGTCTCGCTCTGGTCCCTGTGTTTGCCCTTGGTTCTAGCTGCCTCTCGGTCCCTGTGTTTGCTCTTGGTTCTAGCTGCCTCTCGGTCTCGCTCTGGTCCCTGTGTTTGCCCTTGGTTCTAGCTGCCTCTCGGTCTCGCTCTGGTCCCTGTGTTTGCCCTTGGTTCTAGCTGCCTCTCGGCCCCTGTGTGTTTGCTCTTGGTTCTAGCTGCCTCTCGGTCTCGCTCTGGTCCCTGTGTTTGCTCTTGGTTCTAGTTGCCTCTCGGTCTCGCTCTGGTCCCTGTGTTTGCTCTTGGTTCTAACTGCCTCTCGGTCTCGCTCTGGTCCCTGTGTTTGCTCTTGGTTCTAGTTGCCTCTCGGTCTCGCTCTGGTCCCTGTGTTTGCTCTTGGTTCTAACTGCCTCTCGGTCTCGCTCTGGTCCCTGTGTTTGCTCTTGGTTCTAACTGCCTCTCGGTCTCGCTCTGGTCCCTGTGTTTGCCCTTGGTTCTAGCTGCCTCTCGGTCCCTGTGTTTGCTCTTGGTTCTAGCTGCCTCTCGGTCTCGCTCTGGTCCCTGTGTTTGCTCTTGGTTCTAGCTGCCTCTCGGTCTCGCTCTGGTCCCTGTGTTTGCTCTTGGTTCTAGCTGCCTCTCGGTCTCGCTCTGGTCCCTGTGTTTGCTCTTGGTTCTAGCTGCCTCTCGGTCTCGCTCTGGTCCCTGTGTTTGCCCTTGGTTCTAGCTGCCTCTCGGTCTCGCTCTGGTCCCTGTGTTTGCTCTTGGTTCTAGCTGCCTCTCGGTCTCGCTCTGGTCCCTGTGTTTGCTCTTGGTTCTAGTTGCCTCTCGGTCTCGCTCTGGTCCCTGTGTTTGCTCTTGGTTCTAGCTGCCTCTCGGTCTTGCTCTGGTCCCTGTGTTTGCTCTTGGTTCTAGTTGCCTCTCGGTCTCGCTCTGGTCCCTGTGTTTGCTCTTGGTTCTAACTGCCTCTCGGTCTCGCTCTGGTCCCTGTGTTTGCTCTTGGTTCTAGTTGCCTCTCGGTCTCGCTCTGGTCCCTGTGTTTGCTCTTGGTTCTAACTGCCTCTCGGTCTCGCTCTGGTCCCTGTGTTTGCTCTTGGTTCTAGTTGCCTCTCGGTCTCGCTCTGGTCCCTGTGTTTGCTCTTGGTTCTAACTGCCTCTCGGTCTCGCTCTGGTCCCTGTGTTTGCTCTTGGTTCTAGCTGCCTCTCGGTCTCGCTCTGGTCCCTGTGTTTGCCCTTGGTTCTAGCTGCCTCTCGGTCTCGCTTTGGTCCCTGTGTTTGCTCTTGGTTCTAGCTGCCTCTCGGTCTCGCTCTGGTCCCTGTGTTTGCTCTTGGTTCTAGCTGCCTCTCGGTCTCGCTCTGGTCCCTGTGTTTGCCCTTGGTTCTAGCTGCCTCTCGGTCTCGCTCTGGTCCCTGTGTTTGCTCTTGGTTCTAGCTGCCTCTCGGTCTCGCTCTGGTCCCTGTGTTTGCCCTTGGTTCTAGCTGCCTCTCGGTCTCGCTCTGGTCCCTGTGTTTGCCCTTGGTTCTAGCTGCCTCTCGGTCTCGCTCTGGTCCCTGTGTTTGCCCTTGGTTCTAGCTGCCTCTCGGTCTCGCTCTGGTCCCTGTGTTTGCTCTTGGTTCCAGCTGCCTCTCGGTCTCGCTCTGGTCCCTGTGTTTGCTCTTGGTTCTAGCTGCCTCTCGGTCTCGCTCTGGTCCCTGTGTTTGCTCTTGGTTCTAGCTGCCTCTCGGTCTCGCTCTGGTCCCTGTGTTTGCTCTTGGTTCCAGCTGCCTCTCGGTCTCGCTCTGGTCCCTGTGTTTGCTCTTGGTTCTAGTTGCCTCTCGGTCTCGCTCTGGTCCCTGTGTTTGCTCTTGGTTCTAGTTGCCTCTCGGTCTCGCTCTGGTCCCTGTGTTTGCACTTGGTTCTAGCTGCCTCTCGGTCTCGCTCTGGTCCCTGTGTTTGCCCTTGGTTCTAGCTGCCTCTCGGTCTCGCTCTGGTCCCTGTGTTTGCTCTTGGTTCTAGCTGCCTCTCGGTCTCGCTCTGGTCCCTGTGTTTTGCCCTTGGTTCTAGCTGCCTCTCGGTCTCGCTCTGGTCCCTGTGTTTGCTCTTGGTTCTAGCTGCCTCTCGGTCTCGCTCTGGTCCCTGTGTTTGCTCTTGGTTCTAGCTGCCTCTCGGTCTCGCTCTGGTCCCTGTGTTTGCTCTTGGTTGTAGCTGCCTCTCGGTCTCGCTCTGGTCCCTGTGTTTGCTCTTGGTTCTAGCTGCCTCTCGGTCTCGCTCTGGTCCCTGTGTTTGCTCTTGGTTCTAGCTGCCTCTCGGTCTCGCTCTGGTCCCTGTGTTTGCTCTTGGTTGTAGCTGCCTCTCGGTCTCGCTCTGGTCCCTGTGTTTGCTCTTGGTTCTAGCTGCCTCTCGGTCTCGCTCTGGTCCCTGTGTTTGCTCTTGGTTCTAGCTGCCTCTCGGTCTCGCTCTGGTCCCTGTGTTTGCTCTTGGTTGTAGCTGCCTCTCGGTCTCGCTCTGGTCCCTGTGTTTGCTCTTGGTTCTAGCTGCCTCTCGGTCTCGCTCTGGTCCCTGTGTTTGCTCTTGGTTCTAGCTGCCTCTCGGTCTCGCTCTGGTCCCTGTGTTTGCTCTTGGTTCTAGCTGCCTCTCGGTCTCGCTCTGGTCCCTGTGTTTGCTCTTGGTTCTAGCTGCCTCTCGGTCTCGCTCTGGTCCCTGTGTTTGCTCTTGGTTGTAGCTGCCTCTCGGTCTCGCTCTGGTCCCTGTGTTTGCTCTTGGTTCTAGCTGCCTCTCGGTCTCGCTCTGGTCCCTGTGTTTGCTCTTGGTTCTAGCTGCCTCTCGGTCTCGCTCTGGTCCCTGTGTTTGCCCTTGGTTCTAGCTGCCTCTCGGTCTCGCTCTGGTCCCTGTGTTTGCTCTTGGTTCTAGCTGCCTCTCGGTCTCGCTCTGGTCCCTGTGTTTGCTCTTGGTTCTAGCTGCCTCTCGGTCTCGCTCTGGTCCCTGTGTTTGCCCTTGGTTCTAGCTGCCTCTCGGTCTCGCTCTGGTCCCTGTGTTTGCTCTTGGTTCTAGCTGCCTCTCGGTCTCGCTCTGGTCCCTGTGTTTGCTCTTGGTTCTAGCTGCCTCTCGGTCTCGCTCTGGTCCCTGTGCTGGTCTCTGCAGTATATATTATGTATGAGTGTTTCCACAGTAAACTCTGGATCAGACGAAGGTGAAACTTTTCAACCTTCAGTAAAGACAAATGTGTACCTGTGTGTGTCTCTGTGTGTGTACCTGTGTGTGTACCTTTGTGTGATCACCATGTGTGTGTACCTGTGTGTGTACCTGTGTGTGTCCCTGTGTGTGTACCTGTGTGTGTCCCTGTGTGTGATATGATCTCCGTCTCTCCCTGTCCTCCCGCCTCTGTCCTGGTCTCCGTCTCTCCCTGTCTCCGCCTCCCCTGGTCTCCGTCTCTCCCTGTCCTCCCGCCTCCTCCACCTGGTCTCCGTCTCTCCCTGTGCTCCCGCCTCTCCACCTGGTCTCCGTCTCTCCCTGTCCTCCCGCCTCTCCACCTGGTCTCCGTCTCTCCCTGTGCTCCCGCCTCTCCACCTGGTCTCCGTCTCTCCCTGTCCTCCCGCCTCTCCACCTGGTCTCCGTCTCTCCCTGTCCTCCCGCCTCTCCACCTGGTCTCCGTCTCTCCCTGTCCTCCCGCCTCTCCACCTGGTCTCCGTCTCTCCCTGTGCTCCCGCCTCTCCACCTGGTCTCCGTCTCTCCCTGTCCTCCCGCCTCTCCACCTGGTCTCCGTCTCTCCCGGTCCTCCCGCCTCTCCACCTGGTCTCCGTCTCTCTCTGGTCTCTCTCTGGTCTCTCTCTGGTCTCTCTCTGGTCTCTCTCTGGTCTCTCTCTGGTCTCTCTCTGGTCTCTCTCTGGTCTCTCTCTGGTCTCTCTCTGGTCTCTCTCTGGTCTCTCTCTGGTCTCTCTCTGGTCTCTCTCTGGTCTCTCTCTGGTCTCTCTCTCTGGTCTCTCTCTGGTCTCTCTCTGGTCTCTCTCTGGTCTCTCTCTGGTCTCTCTCTGGTCTCTCTCTGGTCTCTCTCTGGTCTCTCTCTCTGGTCTCTCTCTGGTCTCTCTCTCTGGTCTCTCTCTGGTCTCTCTCTCTGGTCTCTCTCTGGTCTCTCTCTGGTCTCTCTCTGGTCTCTCTCTGGTCTCTCTCTGGTCTCTCTCTGGTCTCTCTCTGGTCTCTCTCTGGTCTCTCTCTGGTCTCTCTCTCTGGTCTCTCTCTGGTCTCTCTCTGGTCTCTCTCTGGTCTCTCTCTGGTCTCTCTCTGGTCTCTCTCTGGTCTCTCTCTGGTCTCTCTCTGGTCTCTCTCTCTGGTCTCTCTCTCTGGTCTCTCTCTGGTCTCTCTCTGGTCTCTCTCTGGTCTCTCTCTGGTCTCTCTCTGGTCTCTCTCTGGTCTCTCTCTGGTCTCTCTCTGGTCTCTCTCTGGTCTCTCTCTGGTCTCTCTCTGGTCTCTCTCTGGTCTCTCTCTGGTCTCTCTCTGGTCTCTCTCTCTGGTCTCTCTCTGGTCTCTCTCTGGTCTCTCTCTGGTCTCTCTCTGGTCTCTCTCTGGTCTCTCTCTGGTCTCTCTCTGGTCTCTCTCTGGTCTCTCTCTGGTCTCTCTCTGGTCTCTCTCTGGTCTCTCTCTGGTCTCTCTCTGGTCTCTCTCTGGTCTCTCTCTGGTCTCTCTCTGGTCTCTCTCTGGTCTCTCTCTGGTCTCTCTCTGGTCTCTCTCTGGTCTCTCTCTCTGGTCTCTCTCTCTGGTCTCTCTCTGGTCTCTCTCTGGTCTCTCTCTGGTCTCTCTCTCTGGTCTCTCTCTGGTCTCTCTCTGGTCTCTCTCTGGTCTCTCTCTGGTCTCTCTCTGGTCTCTCTCTGGTCTCTCTCTGGTCTCTCTCTGGTCTCTCTCTGGTCTCTCTCTGGTCTCTCTCTCTGGTCTCTCTCTGGTCTCTCTCTGGTCTCTCTCTGGTCTCTCTCTGGTCTCTCTCTGGTCTCTCTCTCTGGTCTCTCTCTGGTCTCTCTCTGGTCTCTCTCTG